GCGGGTGCTGATCATGGATACATCCAATTAAACGGACATCCTTCTGGAGCTCATTTAGCGCACGTCTCATTGGAGGTGAAAAAGAAGGGAGGAATGGATGGATTCCTATCAAGAGCCAAAGAATCATCGCAAGTGCAGATGAAGCACCAAGTGGATCGTCTTTATTTTCTCACGTCTGATTTGTTCTTCTATCGCACAAAGACTTCAACCTCAACGACTTCAACAGGAAGCTCTTCGCGTTTGGTCATTGGCTATGAATTGCCACATCAGCATGAATGGAGAGAGCCTCTTCACATCGATCGAACTGTCACACACCCCATCAGTCTTGTGCATCTTCCACCAACTCTTCTGGTCGAACAAAAAGACTCTCACGTTCAAAGCGATCAGCAATTCATCTGTCAAGCATTTCTCTCTCAGTTCGAAACTCAAAAGGATTTCACGCTGATCCACGTTTGTTTTGTCCCAATTCCTTCCCATCTGAGGAATCGCGACAATACAAACGAGGATCCCACTAGACCGCGTTCGAGCGCACCTTCCCCCAACTTCTTCCATCACTGGGCTTGACTGGACGAAATTGACAGATGATTGCTCGATTGGGACTTCAACAAAGGAATCGTTATGGACAGTGGGAGTCGTTTTGGGTTCTGGAGAAGGTATTTTGCAAGGAGTGAACGACTTTTGTGAATCACGCTCAGCACACCATCCCACTATGACATCCTCAGCACACCATCCCACTATGACATCCTCAGCACACCATCCCACTATGACATCCTCAGCACACCCATCCCACTATGACATCCTCAGCACACCATCCCACTATGACATCCTCAGCACACCATCCCACTATGACATCCTCAGCACACCATCCCACTATGACATCCTCAGCACACCATCCCACTATGACATCCTCAGCACACCATCCCACTATGACATCCCTCAGCACACCATCCCACTATGACATCCTCAGCACACCATCCCACTATGACATCCTCAGCACACCCATCCCACTATGACATCCTCAGCACACCATCCCACTATGACGTCCTCAGCACACCATCCCACTATGACATCCTCCGCTCCAGATCGTTGTCTCATTCAATTTGTGTTGCGAGAAGCAGGAATTTTACGTCCAACAAATTCCGCTGCGGCATCACTCGATTTATCAACAAGCCAGTACTTATCAGAAAATACTCGAATTCATATATCAGATATTTGCGAAGGACTTGGTGGTGCGGTGTGTCCCGGAACGACAAGATGTTTGATCATTGGGACACCCTCAGCGGATGAAATTGTTGTAGAAACATTTCTTGGAAGACCCTTCCAACAAGCGTCAAGTCAGACAGAAGGATCCCATGCGATTGATGAATTCAGATGATCTTCTCACAAGCAGTAAGCAATAGATGGTGTCCAATAATTTTAATGATGTTTGTTCGCAGAATCATTCGTTCCAAGTTCACTGATTAAAATATTTTCTGTTGCCGTCGTCATATGCAAACAATCTATAATTACGCGAAAATTCTTCTTCCAGAATACATCGTCGCTGGTACTGTCATAGTGTCGTGTGTCATAGTGCAGTGTGTCATAGCAGTGTGTTATACATTATTATCTTTTTATAAAGGCTGTTTCCTCTTCTTTTCCCTTTTGTAGAATTCCTTCCATCTGCACATTTTCTTCAATCGGATCTTAGTGCCGTTATTTGGGGCGGCTTTGATTTACATCGACTGGTTGCTCTCGGCTACACTGTAACCCTTCAGGTCAAATCATATTCATCATTTTCCCATCCTTCTATTCATCATGTTATCATTTTCCCATCATTCTATTTATCATATTCATCATTTTCCCTCTTTCTCGCAGATGTGTGATCTGCTCGCGGTTAATCCTGGCTGCCTTCAACGACGTCGTCTTGTGTTGATTGCGTCACGTTGGGACGTTCATTCTCTCCCCCCTCAATCCATTCAACAGTTCAATTGCATCACTCCTCTTTCAACGTTTTTCGAATGCGTCGGCGATCTCGGAAATCCCATAAACAAAAAAAACGAAAACAACTCTTGACGCTCAGACTGTTTGTCTTCCAATTGTAGATCGACTGAAGTCTTCCGCTCAAATGATACAGACTGATCATACAGTGAGAAAAAAGAGTCATTCGGAACAAATAGAGTTTGGGATTGTAGTGAGGATCCTCATCCACGAAATAGAGAGCATCCCTTTTTGGGATTGTAGTGAGGATCCTCCTCCACGAAATAGAGAGGATCTTCATCCCTTCTCGGGATTGTAGATAGGATCCCTATCCCTTTCATGTCCCTTAGGCTTCAGTCCCTTCTGATATTCCACTCTCTTCCATTAAATGGACATCACCCGTTGATCCAATCATCACATTACTTCCTTCATGTTACGTCAAACTGAATGAGAGTGATGGGACTCATCGATGTCCAACAGGGTAAGAGCTCTCGTGGATTCGTAATTATTAGATATTCGCTCTCTGTTGATCAGACGCGAAGTCCTTCGTATGTTGGGATACAAAGACTCTTTCGGATTTCTCATCAACACGCTTCTCAATGATCCAATCCGCGAACGATGCGCCTCACGTAAGCTACTCTTCCCATCAAAGGTCTTTGGATGCATTACTGTATGAATTACTGTCCCAAATGATGCATTACTCTCCCAAATGATGCATTACTCTCCCCAAATGATGCATTACTGTCCCAAATGATGCATTACTGTCCCAAATGATGAATTACTGATGATGAAACATCTTGTCTTTCAGTTGTAAACGCGTGGCCTCCATCTCTCATCGAATCTTTGCTCCAATTGGTTGTCGACAGGCAATTTTCCCAAAAAATTGGATTGTCCCAAAAATCGTATCGACCACTTCCTCGTTCAGAACTGCAAGATCAGTGGAGGCGGCTACATGGCGAAATGAAACGAAAAGAACGAATCAAAATTAAAGAAATTCGAGTGATTTCTGATGACGAAACAGAAAATGGTTTCATTGCTCAAAAGTCCCACCGAGTTGCGATCGGCGCCAGAAGAATCAAAAGTCCTTGGGTAAAAGATATTGTGGTCGAGTTTCCAACACGAGGTTCCGAAAGTCCTTCGCTCATTTGCGACAACGACTCCGATACCGATTACAATACGCTCCTAGAGAAGGGAATGTCCCTCTGGCAATTAGAACAAGATAATGATGACGCTGATGAAAACACGGGATGATAAAAAGGGAAAAAGTCGAAAACGTAAACGGACTTCAATCAATCCCGCTGATTCAACAGAAATCCCGCACGCTTCAAAACGGGCAAACAGAACGCTTAGAAGACCTTCCATTGCTGGACAGAAGTTGTTAGCGTTTCAGTCTGAATGACGCCATGGATATTGACTTAGTATAGATCTATCTATCTACATATATATATATACATAACATATATATATATATATATACAGAACCATAATTTTTTGTGTGCATTTATCTTGCTCACCTATCCATTCATATGTTTTGTTATCGACTATATTCTCGAATATCTTTGTTTTATCGAATCTTGAATATTTTTGTTATCAATCGGTAGCTTATGAGAATGAAGATCTACTGAAGTGTGTGATCAACCCAAATTCGTTTTAACTCTTTTGTCAAAACTCTTCCAAATTTTCTAGAGCTGAATCCATCCATCTTGCCTCCAGGACGATTCCTCCATTTCAAACACGACTCGATTTCAACCCCCCGCTTCATTCCAAACACGGTCAATCGAGTCGTGGTGCTTAATGCTTCTTCTTCTTGCCAGTCAACACTCGATTGACGCAATGGTAGAGATAACAGAAATTCAGGACGAGAAGGCAAAACATTCCAGAAAGAAAAGCTTCTTTGAGAACAAGCGTGCTTCCACTCTTTCGGAAGTCCCACGAGGTTGAAAACAGATCGATTAAAATTCGGTAGATGAAGATTACTGGAACGACCTGCAAGGAAATGGTATCCTTCGTTGATAAAGAACTCATTGTGTATCGCATGTGGTTCAATTTGGGACACAGATGGTCCAATTTGGGACTTACGATTCGTCCCACAAGAATTGTAATTGCAAGAACTAGCCATGAGAGCTGCGACTGTTTTGGGAATAGACGAATCCCGGCCATGAAGGCGCCTGGAAAGAGAAAAGAATGAGAGAAAGAAAAAGAGAGAGAAAGAGATTCAAAGAAGTTCTATCCACAAGTATCAAACCTGAAATCGCAACACTGATGTGTATTGGGAGAACAAAATGTGGGTCGAGATTGAGACATAAAAGGGAGACAAGAACAATTCCTGTTGAAATGTGATGCAAGAGTTGCTCAAAATTCATCGAAGAGAGAAAGAACATTCTGATCGTATCGGAAAAAGCATAAATATTCTGAGAAAGAGGTAAAATTTCGAAGTAGAGAAAACATCGAACTTTGTACCTCAAATGCCACAACAAGAGCTGTTATTTGACGCACAGTGACACAATCATCCGATAGCCAATAATATGAGGATACCACACCCAAGACAAGATTATGAATCATGATAAATACGAGATGGGACGAGGAAAACTTTTTATCATCACCAGTTCAGAAGATCTCGGAGAATCACGTCTCGTTAAATGCGCAATTCCCAAAATTAGTAAATAGAGAAGCAAACAAACCACGCAAGCTATTGCATGGCGTTCTACTACAAAGGAAGTATCAACCTTGTAGGGGCACCACATTTGCAAATGCTCTCTATTAACTCATTTCTTCAACAGCCCACACATCCTTTGCGTATCCGATTTGGGACATTGAACTCAAAAAGTGTGGGTCCTGTACGGCATCAGTGGACCTTCTGCATGCAGATCAGTTCCTCCCAAACAAGCCGGGGATATGACGTTTTTCGAAATGTCTTCAAGCTCCCATATTGATGGCATTTCCTTCATCAGATCATCATATGGGGACAGTCTCGTCCTTCGTTGCCCTGTCGGACAGTTCCTGTAGATTTTGACTTTATACGGCGTTTCCATTTCTTGACTATTATGGGAAGACAAGCAGATCGTATTCGAGCACCAGAGAAGTCAGCGAAGAGACCAAAGATGAAGGAGCGTCTCGACGAACACGCTCGACGGCGCGAATTCCAGAGGAGACCCGGAACAAGCGCAAGGAAAGTAACGCTTGAGGAAACACCAAGCAGCGACACAGTTTTGCCAGACGATCGTCGTGGAAGAAGAAAACGCGAAGATGAAGAAGTTCCTCGGAATTCCGACTCACGAAATGGGGTTTAGCAGATGAACCTTTGCGCAAAAAGCGAAGGCAGAATGACAGCGCGACCCAAGAAGTTAAGAAAAATGAGCTCGGAGGCCGAAAAGAACAAAAAGGACCTTCTAGTGAGCGCTCTTTTAGAGAAGATGCGGAAGCAGTGAAAAGCGGTGGGTTGTCTGAATTGATGCCCCCGCCCAAAAGTTTAGAACCACGCCGGACTCATCGGAAAGGCGATTCCGACCGGCGAACCACGCGAAGAACGACTGAGACACGACAACATGCGGAGCCAGTGAGGCATCCTTCTGAAAATTGTCGTAAGAATTCGGCGGATCAGTCCGGAACGGTTCGTCTCCATTCCAAGCGAAACGAGTCGAATCGACCCGAGACTCCGCGTAGTTTCACTCCTCAGCCGCCCCAATTCACTTTCACCTGGACCGGCAAGTCCATTTCATCCTCCCACAACAACAGCTCAACTGAGAGCTCTTATCATCATCGGTCTCCTCAACAGTCAAACACCCTCTCCTCTAGGACCAGACTCTCAATCCAATCGCTTAGTCCTGTCCTGTCCTCTCCATTCATTTCTCGTTGCAAGGTATTTGAAAGATTTTTTCTTGGTTCAGAGGCGAATTCCGGCGCTGTTCTTGCGCTCCATTGACGCGCAGTCAGTCGCCACGCAGTTGTATTATCTATCAGCCGATCAGTTTGACCCTCTCATAGGATCCGTCGTAGCTCCACTTCGAATTGAGCTTCTCTCTGGGGGGGGCCTCATTCTAGACACTTTTGATTTTGTCCGTAGCGATCAACTCCTCCGGTCGACATTACGCCCGGAACATCCCTTCAATTGTCGACCTCTTTACGATCGGTCCCCACTGATGCGATTGCCCTTAGACGAACTTGACGCAAAGTCCGATAACCTTGACGGATTTCACCACCAGTTCGAAGAAATTCTGTTCCGGGCTGCGGACGATGGACTTCCAAAGCCCTGTTGGGAAGACCGTTTCGTTGGAGACGCAAAACCACGCACAGGAGCTTGCGTACCTTGAGGGGCATGACTTTAGTCGCCATCTCCCTCCTTTGCCGATTTTGGCGCCCAAGACAGATTTGCAAGCACCTCTTCCGTTGCCTTCCGTGTCCAAGGCCCTCAAGACTGGAGCATCAAGTTCGGGGCTGAACATCGAAGAATTGCTGAGTGCACCATCAGCAAAGGTAGGGATTCAGGAACCGATTCCGTTTGTTGCCGCTTTCATCTTATGCCGCTAGTTTTTAGTTTCAATTCTATTCAATTGCATCGTCCAATTCATTCTATCTGCGTCTACATTAAAGGCCTTATTATTGGCCGTCCTTTTTTTCAATTCTATTCGTCGGAGTAGTTGATGGTTTTTGGAGCTACTCTCAATCCCCATCCGCTTGACTAAAAAATATTAAAAATATTATGATATGAATGAAACGAGAAAAAGAAAAAAAAATGTTGTTTCTAAGATGGCAACCTGGTTGCGGGGCAAATGATTTCGCGTCAAATTAAATTGACCCCAATGTTCGAATCAGCTGATAGCAAAGAGATGGAAGAGAGGTCGCTTTATCCAAACGAAGGAATCCACCACCGACATATTCAATGAATATTTTTTATTACATTCTATGATAATGCAGAGATCGTGATTTTTGAAGGCTCTTGATTTTTATTTTTTTATGTTGCTCGTTATTTTTGTTTGTTTTATCAGGAAAAGCAAATAATGGATTCGAGTGCTGAGCTTCGCGATCTCCTCACAGTTCCAACTGCCAAGCATTCCATTACGACGCGAAGTTTCCAAAGCCGTGGAGGATCGAAAGTCCAACAGATCTGTCCGCGTGGTACGCGACACGATTGCCTCATCGAAGCCATCGAAAAGCACAACGAACTGAAGTTGAAACACCATCACGTTCCACTTCCAAGAGTTTGTGGCAAAATTCATTTCAGACGTATCATGTTTCCACATACCGGTAGGATTTGCGCATAAGCATGAGTTTAAGTGGAATATTGGTATTGATGTACTTGACTGATTGATTAATTGATTGATTGATTGATTGACTGACTGAATTGATTGACTGACTGATCACTGATACTCTGATATAATCAACTATTGATCAATCGATTGAGCATAAGCATGAGTTGTATGATACTGGAGCACTGATACTGGTATTGATGTAAGGGTGATCCTGGTTGATCAATTCCTCTTCTCAGATCTCAGCCTGGGAGATTGCTCCTATTTAGACACTTGTCGTCACATGTCTTCCTGCCGATTCGTTCATTATGAAGTTGATCTTGATGTCGGAACTGAAGAACAGAAATCCGAATTGTTGGACAGAATGGACGATTCAACCAGAACGTACGTTGTTGACACACAGAAATCATTCTCTGAATCATGACCTTCTTTGAATCATGGAATTTTTTGCAAGACGCGTTCTTTTTATACTTCAGTTGTTTTTGTAATTCAGAGCAATCGGAACGGTTTCGTCTTCTCAATTGGAGGAACTTCCTGCTCAATGGATCACATTGCGATATTCGTAAAATCGATTTCAGTATCTTTAGAGGCAAAGTGAAAATAGTGATGGCAGATCCTCCTTGGGACATCCACATGGATTTACCTTACGGTACAATGACGGACAATGAGATGAAGTCATTGAGGGTAAGTTCCCGATGTTTTGTCGATCGAGACTTCGGACATGCATGCGCGGCTTTCATGCATGCATCACATGTCATCGTTTTCATCCGCAGCTGGATCAAGTTCAAGATGAAGGACTTCTCTTCCTATGGGTTACAGGTCGTGCTATGGAATTGGGACGTGAATGCATGCAGGTCAGTGTTCTATTGATTCCAACATCAGAGTGAACCGGTGTTGGGTCTACATGTGGTCCGTTAGAGCGGGCAACAACTTCTTTAGCAACAACATCATCATCCGCCTTTCGCTGTCACTCCTTGTCTTGTCTCTCTGCAGCTGTGGGGTTATCGCCGTTTAGAAGAGATTGTTTGGGTGAAAACGAATCAATTGCAATCGCGTCATTCGAACTGGTCGCACTGGTCATTGGCTTAATCATTCAAAAGAACATTGCTTAGTTGGAATTAAAGGTGATCCCAAACTCAATCGCCATCTCGATACAGATTTGATCGTCGCTGAAGTGCGTGAAACATCAAGGAAGCCTGACGAAGTTTATAGGTAGGGGATTGGAGAGAGATTTTTGTGATGATGAAAATTTTCTCTCAAATTGGTCGAGCTGTTGGTCAATCTGTGATCGACATTCAGACGAGAGTCTCCTTCTATAAATCAGGCGACAATCTCCTTCCTGATTCTTTCTCCTTCCTGCTTTATAGAATCATTGAGAGACTTTGCCCCTGGTCCTTATAAATTAGAACTCTTCGGAAGGCAACATAACGTCCGGAACAATTGGATTACTTTGGGTGAATTATTCCAATACTATTTGTTTGTTTCATTAATTTTTTTTAGGTAATCAACTAGATGCTGTTCGGTTGCATGATGCCAGCCTCGTTCACCGTTATAACTCTTACGCTTCAAAGTCTGGTTTGCCTCTCTATGACCAAGTTAGAGAGCATCAGCCCCCTGACGGTCATTAAGTGAAGCAGACAGCGTCTTGGGATTTGAGACGACGAATCTGTTTTTTCTGAGTTCTAATAAAAAAAAAACAAGCAGCTCTTCAAAACTCCTTTAAACAGCATCTCACCATGTCTTGAGCCGCTTTGCAACTTCACGCCCACCGCTCACTTGCAGGTTCCCTCCGCACACAGGTACGATGCTCTGGCGGGTTTTAACAACATTGTTAATATCTTCTCTAACAGTTTCTCAATTGACGCTGATATTGTCACAAGGGGCACGTTAGGAGCGCCCAGCCAACATTGTTAATATCTTCTCTAACAGTTTCTCAGTTGACGCTGATATTGTCACAAGGGGCACGTTACATCTAAGCTGGAGCGCATATTTGCACAACTAAATCAAACAGGTACCGCCGTACAGATCATTTAACATGGCAATGGCGCAGTAGCATTGTGTCAAATGGGACAGGGTGTCTGCTCTCCACCATGTTCCTGTTCATTAATTAGTAAAAACGAAAGAAAGAATCAAATCAAGGCAACTCATCGAGCATTTATTTCACATTCAAAGGTCTTGCGCTTGATTCAGAAATCAGCAGCATCAAGTTTCGCTCAATTAAAAAAAAATTCATAGAATGGCGTCAAGGTCTCCCTCCGCTTCACTGGTTGTCCAACAAATGGCTTCCGCGTTTATTGAAGAAGCAAAACAAAGAATATTGAAAGCCTTTCAAGCTTGAGCATCTCTTCTGGTTATCCCCTATTTTTGTTGCCTCCCCTGTTCAGTTTTCTTTCGAGCGATTCGATGCGCTTTCTAGAACATCCAGGACTTTCAAAACTCTCCGCTCTATTGAAAGATCTTGACGTTGGAGACAGAATTCTATCAGGGCCGCTTAGAGCTCTTCACGACGAAAGATCAAGAAGCAACGGCAAACGAGAAAGAGACAACAGCGAAAGAAAAAGAAACAACAACGAAGGACACAACAACGAGGGCTACCAGCGATGATCAACCAATCGGTGGGCCACCAAAGGTTGTTACCCACCGAGCAACGCCATGGTACTCATGAGAAGGAGGATTCACTTCTTGACACATCAACAGATGTGAAACTTCGAAAGCGTCGCGATTCTTTGCTTGGCGCAGATTTGCAGCCAATCGCAAAACGTCGACGAAGTTCTTCGCAAACAACATGGAAATTTTTGGGTGCACACACACCAGCAGAGGGGCAAAAATTGCTCGTTCACCTCGTCAGCACCATGAATGCTTGTTTTCCCTGATTACGATTTTAGGTAAGCGGTAGACTTGAAACAGTTCGGCTGATGAAGCAGCCTGTTGTGACAGTTTCAGACATTTCAATTTCCATTCTGGTTTGTTCATTCTCTCAGTTCTGTCACTCCTGATGCTTTCGAACGCATCGAGGATTTCGTCACGGTTTATACAACAATTAACTATCATTTATCATTTCTTGTCGAGAGGATTGTTCCGGGATTTCTTCAAGATCTCTGGGCATCGATCAAGGATTCAGTGAACCTTCGGAATGCTGCAATCTACAGTTACATCAATAGAAACGGAAACGTCGATTCGGATCCTTATGTTGATGATGAATTCTGTCTATTTAGTTTTGACTATTTCTTCGTGGACGAAATGTCCAACAGAATCCTGTTTTTCTCATGCATGACGAAAAGGTGAGTGAAATCACCTGACTCGGTGAAAATATCCATCATCTAGTCGTTCCTTCAATGCAAGGTAGATTGCAGTGTTATTATTCATCACAGAATCAACTAGTAGATTGTAGTGTTATTCATCACAGGCTATGCCGCAAATATTCTTTATTGGTCTTTGAAGATGTTCAACTCTAAACTGCTTTTTTTCTCTTAGAAAACCTGCTCAGTTGTCTTTAGAGAATTGGGATGATGATGAGTATGAAAGATGTAAGAGTCGAAATTTGAATCAACATTGAATTTCCGTTTTTCTTTCAGCTCACTCCCAACATAGTAGTGATCTCGACAACGGTAGCAGTGACGGTGACGACGATGATCAAGATATTGAAGACGATGGCGATCTGCTCTATGGTGAAATTCGTTATTGAGCCACGCCGTTTATACGAATATTTTTCTTCCTTTGTTCACCATCTCCCACAACAGGAGTGTATGTCGTCTTGAAGAGTGTCTATTATTTGCGCAAATTGTGTTTTCCGGCTGTCATTAATGGACCTCCAAGCCACATCAATTTATTTAGTTCTTTTTATAGTGTGTGTGCCTCATTTGTTGCTGTGATGAGATGGTGGAGATTGATATCAGAAGCTTGTTTCATGGCGTTGGAATGAAGTGGAGTTGCTCAACGCAATTCCTTCATACGGGCCACTGAAGCAAACACTTTGCTGAATCTCCAATACCGCGGTCATCCTTGCTCTGAGCAACTCACTCACTAGTGCACCGATACTTGCGAGGAATTGCTCTCCATCAAATTGCCTTTATGTAAACCATTCTCTCACTGTCTTCACGGCAATCCCGTTCGCTGATGATTGGCCAACCGTCAGTCAATCGACTCCGATGGATCGACATTTTCTGTTCTTTCGCGACGGCTCTTTCTCGGTATTGCTGCAATTATCGCGTCGTGACGGCATCTGTATCTTGGATGGTTATTAATGCAGGAGTTAACAGGGCTCATCTTCTCCAGAAAGCAGGTATCGAGTTGCGTACTTGAGGAGCTGCTTCATATTTATTGGACCAGTACGACGTGTTGCGTGTAGCCACAAGCATGGGACACACCCCCGTACAGCGACCAACAAAAATCACAGAAGCAATGCACTGAAGCGCTGAGCCACATGTTGAGCGCCCGATCGTAAAGATCTTGCATTGCCATCTCAACGAACAAAGGCTTCTCAACAAGCTTGCCAAACATCTACAAAAGGGACGCCAAAAATTTGGGGCACGTAAAAAATTTGGGGCACGTCGTCTTTTTTGTTCCAGGTTTAACTTGATTATATGACTGATCTCGGAGACTCGGGACTTTCTCTGATGAAAGCCTCCATAGACTGAAGAAACCTGAGAAGAATACAAAAAAGAACGGTCTTGTCTGGTGTCTGATTGCAGGGGGCCGGAATAACAAGAAACGACTAAGGGTAAGAAGTATGGTTTTCTGAATATCTGGCTTCTGTTTTTGACAGAAGCCCCAAAACAGGAAAAAAGGGACAAGCTGATTAAGTTCCATTTCCTCAGTGCGGCCGAGGGCGTCCTCGGGGCCATTCCAACGCGCAAATTGCGCGGTCAAATCGTTATTAAGAATACTTTTTTGCAATTGCACAAAAGCAACCTTAATGTGCAACACTGATCAACAAATCTACTTAGACAAGAACATTTTTCGATTCCTCCATGTGAATCGGGTGACAGAGGTACAAAGTGATGGACGGTTCGCTGAATTGTGAAATGTACCATTAATACAATTGGTTGATATTGCACAAGGAGTCATGGTTAAGAATTGTAAGAATGAGTTCGGGATGCAGTTATGACACCAAACAAAATACAACAGATAGAAAGCAAACACTAAGAATGAATAGCGATGAGAATGAAGACAGAGAAAAACGAATAAATAGTGTTGAAGAAGACGAAGAAAAGAAGAAAGAAGAGGAAGAAGAGAAAGAAGAAGAGAAAGAAGACGAAGAAGAGGAAGAAGCCGAAGAAGAAGAAGAGGAAGAAGACGAAGAAGAGGAAGAAGACGAACAAGAGGAAGAAGACGAACAAGAGGAAGAAGACGAAGAAGAAAAGACGAAGAAGAAAAGAAGAAAAAAAGAAGACGACGAAGAAAAAAAAAACAAAGAAGAAAATGAAGAGATATTTGTTTGTCCTCTGATTAATGTGGACAAGGAGTTACTTCATAGTGTGGTTCTTCCTTTGATGAAGTCGGTAATATCAACCCATTGCCTCAGCGTGTTCATAGTACACTCAGAATTCATTTGGAACAAGGAGGCCATGAATCTTACAATCACTCCGTACCGGGAGAGCTCCTTTGATCAATGTGGAAGAACGAAAAAATGCTCTTGTCAAGGGTACTGAGAGTACATTTGGTTCCCTAGAATTTGATCAGTGCTTCACTTTAAAGTTCCTTTTGTGCTACGTATGTTGTGGTTTTAATGAAAACTGAAAAAGGTATTTTAATATCTATTTGAACGCGCAATTTTGGATTGCGCATTCGGTTGGCCACGAGGACGTCCGCGGCCATATTGCGGTTGCCCATAGAAATGGGACCGCACTAATTTCTCCCTCCTGTTGCCCCTTGACGCTGGTCAAAAGAGTCGCCAGACATCAATCAGAAAACCGTTTTTCTTACCCTTATTGCAGCTTCCCCGCCCCTTCCGGGCTCCTGCAATTCGCAGATGCGAGAACTCTCCAGCTTCTTCCCATTTCCCCCCAAGCAATTTTCGTGGCCAGGCGTTCTCCATCCACTATGATGCACCGTCAATACTTCTTAGATGTTGTCAGATCGATTATTCAGAAAACGACATGCAAAGAAGCGACATGCAAACAAGCGACATGCAAATAAGCGACATGCAAATAAGCGACATGCAAAGAAGCGACTAAATGCAAGAGAGTGGCAAGTTTCTTCAAAGCGGATCGATAAACCAGAGATTCCGATTGAAGGAGCTTTCAATGAGAACGTGTTTGTTAATTCTGGCACAATTTCAATCCAACTCGGAGAGCAGGATTGGTGTGTATGTGAGAAGAAGGACCGAATGTAGCAAGAGACTCTGAACAGAACATTCGCCATGTTTACTGCATCAAAGATGCTTCACGATGAATGGAAGATTGCTGCATCGCGAAATATGGGAGTGCAGTTCCAAGGCAAAAAGTAGTGAGTGGTTGTTGAATGCAATCAACAACGGGAAAATAAATTTATTGGCTGCTTCAAATCCAAGCCTAGATCTTCCACACCAATATATTGTAGCCACTGCTGATACAGATCGAATTCAAACATCTCTAACTGTAAATACTGTCCGTCTGTTAAGGCTTGCTGCCTTCGCCGTTTTTGAGCA